TTAAGAAGCTTAAAAAAAAAAAAAATAGCCCTGTAATTTGTAAGATAAAAAAAAAAATCAGCTTTTTTTGTTGTTCAGGCAAAAAAAAAAAAATTAAGTTCAAATACTTATAATTTAAAAAAAAAAATAATAAAAGTTTTTAATTTTTTGTAAAAAAAAAAACAATTCGATGTGAATATTTTTCTTAAAAAAAAAAACAACTGGCAAATGTAATTTCACATAAAAAAAAAAAGCAGTGCTGCCAAATTTTTTTCAAAAAAAAAAAAAAGTTCGCCAGAATACCAAATTCAAAAAAAAAAAAAATAGAAAAGTAACAAAATTCTCTTAAAAAAAAAAAATGCGAATAGCCCTGTGAATAGATAAAAAAAAAAATTTTAATCACGTTTAATATGTATGAAAAAAAAAAATATTATAACTTATTTATTTTGGTATCAAATGTTCTATTTTTACAAGAGTGAAAAAATGCAAAAAAAAAAAAAAAAGAGGAAATAGCTCTGTGGTAAAAAAAAAAAAATTATTATTTCCTTCGCACATTTTGCAGACCAAAAATATAAATTTTGATGTGTTATCAAAAAAAAAAAAGTTTCAACAGCTTAATTGATATAAAAAAAAAAAAAAAAATGAAAAGAAATGCAGTATGAAAAAAAAAAAATACCTTTAATTTCATTTCTGAACCAAAAAAAAAAAATTAGTATAGTCAAAGAAGATTTTAAAAAAAAAAAAACTTTAAATTTTATAAAATGAAAAAAAAAAAAAATCTATACTTTTTAAATTTCAATACAAAAAAAAAAAACATCTAATTTGAAATTAATTAAGATAGTAAAATGTCTTACTCTGCCAAGAAGAGAAATAAAAAAAAAAATCCTGCTCATTTGGTGAATACTGTAAAAAAAAAAATTTATACTTGTCTAAAAAATGTGTAAAAAAAAAAAATCACTATGTGTTCGGCAAATCATAAAAAAAAAAAGCTTTTGTATCAATCGGGTGGTTTAAAAAAAAAAAAGTATAACTTCTTAAAGTTTATTTAAAAAAAAAAAACAAAATTAATTAATTTTCATTACAAAAAAAAAAATATTTTAAGATGCTTCAATATTAAAAAAAAAAAAACAACCGCAGGCATCTGTATGACTTAAAAAAAAAAAAAACTTAATTAAATTCAAATTAATAAAAAAAAAAAAAATTAAATTTATTTGGACCTCACAAAAAAAAAAAGTTTACATAACAATTGTAAAACTAGACTTTTAAAGCGATCTATATATGATCATTTTCCAAAAAAAAAAAAGGTGCTTAAATAATTATAAAAATAAAAAAAAAAAATGCTCCCCTAATATATATTTTGAAAAAAAAAAAAATGAATAATTTTTAAATTATTTTTGAAAAAAAAAAATTAATTATTAAATAACGTTTATATAAAAAAAAAAATGCTTTTTAAAATCAACTGATGAAAAAAAAAAAAAAGCTGAACATTTTTACTTCGAGGCAAAAAAAAAAAATCTGCTGTTTATCGTGACTCAGTAAAAAAAAAAAGAAAATGACTATTCATGCGCAGAAAAAAAAAAAAAGTAAACCGTTGGGAATAATAATAAAAAAAAAAAAAGAATTATAATAGCTTGTGGCATAAAAAAAAAAAAAATTTTTCCGTATAAGACGAGCCCGAAAAAAAAAAACAAAATCTTCTATTGATGACGCACTGCAGCTCTGGTGAAGTCCAAAATTGATGAAGACCAAAAAAAAAAACAAGAAATCATCGCTAATGAATTGAAAAAAAAAAACATGGCTGTAACACGAAGAAATCTAAAAAAAAAAAACTACGAATTTTAAATGAGGCTCGAAAAAAAAAAACCCAATTTATCCTAAACAAATTCGAAAAAGGACAGTCTAGCACCTTTAGTAAAGTCGTTAAAAAAAAAAAATCTTGATTCTATAAGTACGATCTAGAAGCCAAACAGCAGTCCATGGTATTGAGCCCAAAAAAAAAAAAACTACCCGTAAAATCTAAGCAAAAAAAAAAAAAAAAAAAGTAATGATGTCAGTTTACTTTAAAAAAAAAAAAATCGTAGCTGTTCTTGCATTGGAAAAAAAAAAAACAGTAACTATTGTAAAATGGTACAAAAAAAAAAAAGAACCAAAAGTTTTAAAAAATCTGAAAAAAAAAAAAAAAAATTGTCTATAGAATACAAGAAAAAAAAAAAGAATAACGATCCCAAAAAAGTGTCAAAAAAAAAAATGTAGCAATGCTGTGAGTTGCTCTAAAAAAAAAAAGATCAGAATTATGAAACTAAAACTAAAAAAAAAAATAAATAAAATATAAAAACCAAGAAAAAAAAAAAAAAAAGTGTAAAATACAGATCGTTGAAAAAAAAAAAAATAAATTAATGTTTGTGTTGTTGTTGTAGCGGCTCATCGCGGTAATCTAACAAGAGGTCAAAAAAAAAAACTGTTTCGGCAGGTGGTTGGGATAAAAAAAAAAAACTAGGTATACGTTGGGTATGCTGAAAAAAAAAAAATTAACCTGCTACAATATCCAGACTAAAAAAAAAAAAGTGTTTCCTGAGTTTCTCGAGGCAAAAAAAAAAACCCTCGACAGGGCATACGCAAAAAAAAAAAAAAAAAGAATATTGTGCAAGGCAAAGCCGAAAAAAAAAAAGTCTAGGCTTATTTTTTGAAGCTGAAAAAAAAAAAATAGTGTTATTTTCGCATTTCAGCAAAAAAAAAAAAGTTCCTCTAAAATTTGCAAAAAAAAAAAAAAAAAAAAAAAAAATACCTTTTTTTAAGGAAAAAAAAAAAATAATACTGTAAAAAGTAAAGCCAAAAAAAAAAAAATATTGAGCATGAACATGAACTAAAAAAAAAAAAACTTCTACATTGTCTCTCTATGTTGAAAAAAAAAAACTAAAAAATTCATTGTTATTTTTTAAAAAAAAAAAAAAAGTGTAAAAAAATAAAAGTTCGCCATTGTGATACATAATAAGAAACCGTTTTGATTAAAAAAAAAAAATGATTCGTTCTACAATTATCCTGTCACTTACCAACAAAAGGGACGTGTTTCAGCAGCAAAAAAAAAAAATGCCATTAAAAAAAAAACTGTGATAAAAAAAAAAATTTTTTATAAAAAAAAAAATTATTAAAAAAAAAAATTTTTTGGAGGAACGTGGCCACGAAAAAAAAAAAATATGTTTTATTAAGAGAATTTATATTATATTAGATCAAATTAAAGATATTTTCATGCTCAAAAAAAAAAAAAAAGTTGTCTTTTTATACTGGAAAAAAAAAAAAATTATCTTCAGAAAGTATTAGGTTAAAAAAAAAAAAAAGGAATTTCACATTCCTTTCCAACGATACCAAGTTCTGAAAATTGGGTGTACAACTTTAAAAAAAAAAACGTTTTGAACTTTTCGACAATTTCAAAAAAAAAAAAAAATAAAAGTATGCCCCAAAAAAAAAAAAAAAAAGAAATCAGGTAAACAGGGCGGAACAAAAAAAAAAATTTATTTTGATCTGCCTTACCAGTAAAAAAAAAAAACTTGTTCCATTTAAAAATTGAAAAAAAAAAAAAATTTGAATAAAATAATTCTAACTTAAAAAAAAAAAATTATTTTCACAAAGAAGCGTAAAAAAAAAAAAAAACCATTAAGTTTCAGTTTCTAAGATAAAAAAAAAAATTTTCTAAAACAAAACACTAAATGAAAAAAAAAAACTAACTGCAACAGTTTAATCAGGCAAAAAAAAAAACTTGTTTGATCGAACTTGATTCTGGGGTCGAGTCGGGCGTTCCGTGAACGTATTAGACAAAAAAAAAAAAATTAAAACGCCGAAGAAAGTACACAAAAAAAAAAATTCCTTTAAATCGAAATTTTTCTCAAAAAAAAAAATTAGGTACACGCTTACAGAAACTAAAAAAAAAAAAGCTTGCAAGTTCCCTTAATCGTCTAAAAAAAAAAAGTTCAACGACATCACTTTTATAAAAAGATAAACAAAAAAGTAAAACGCCGACCATAATTAAAAAAAAAAAACAAAATATTAAGCATTTGAGCAAAAAAAAAAAAAAATTATAAGAGAATAATGTAAAAGAAAAAAAAAAAATATTTTACATATTTAAATAGTTTAAAAAAAAAAAACATTATCCCATTAATTTTATATGAAAAAAAAAAAGCGGAATTTTTTTTCGTACGACTGCAGTTACATTCATGGAACGCTCGATTCGACCCCTGAAAAAAAAAAATACGGTTACAATGTAATCGTTATAAAAAAAAAAAAAAATGTTTTAAACATTCTACATAAAAAAAAAAAAACAAAATCAGAGGAAGTCTTTAATAAAAAAAAAAAATTTATTTTGAAAAACACCTCCAATAAAAAAAAAAATTAAAAATATATATATATTTTAAAAAAAAAAAAAAATTTAACTTTTATTCCTTAGATCAAAAAAAAAAAATCAGTGATAAAATGTCGTATTAACAAAAAAAAAAATAAAATTACGTTAATGTCATTCCTGAAAAAGTTTCGAATTGGGCTTTCAGCATCCATATAAAAAAAAAAATCGAAAAAAAAATATATATATATCAAAAAAAAAAATGAAAACGGTCTTTATTCTGCATTAAAAAAAAAAAGTATAAGGACCGCTGATTTAGTATAAAAAAAAAAAAGTCAAGTGCACAATTCCACTCTTAAAAAAAAAAAATATTTATTTTGTTTACTTTATATAAAAAAAAAAAATTAAAATGAATTAATTTCAGACTGAAGAGTAATAGTTACGGCCGAATTACATCACATAAAAAAAAAAAAACCCGCATTAGGATCAATCGATTTAAAAAAAAAAATTCAATAATATGCAGTTTTCACAGAAAAAAAAAAATGTCATTATATACGGGTTTTTTTTAAAAAAAAAAAACATAGTTTTAACCGAATTTAGAGAAAAAAAAAAAACATTCTTTTCAACGATTGTATTGAAAAAAAAAAATTAATTTTACAAAAAAAAATCTGAAAAAAAAAAAATAACTTACCAGAATTACTTGGACTTTTTGTTCTTTGGTTGCTCCAGGATATATTTTGACTTTCTTTTATATTAAATGGAGGAAATTGAAATTGCATTGAACTTTGCTGGGAGCCTTAAATATAATGAGCAGAGCTGTAAAATTATTTATAAAATATTTTTTTAAAAAAAAAAAAATGTATTTTCATCGGTTGGAGACGAAAAAAAAAAAAATGAAGCTTCGTCGACTTGCTGACTCCATGGAATATTCCGCTCGTCTGCACCTTTTGCTAAAAAAAAAAATGAAAAATTTTATTTATTACTAAAAAAAAAAAAAAACAACTTGTCCACATTTTAATTAAAAAAAAAAAAACCTAGTGGCAATAAATTTGTTGTCAAAAAAAAAAATGTACTTCCTGGTGTCCTCATCTAAAAAAAAAAAATAATATTACAATATCTTTGTCCTAAAAAAAAAAAAGCAAAATGTTTCAGTTAGCTAAAAAAAAAAAAAAACTGATCTGATATGCTTGATGACATAAAAAAAAAAATTGTGTATAGTACTTTCCTGCAAAGAAAATTTATTATCGACCGTCTATCGAGTTTTAGAAAAAAAAAAAACCTAACAAATTAAAAATATAAACAAAAAAAAAAAATAAACAATATGTAAGCAAACTTTAAAAAAAAAAAAAGTCAGATACTTGGTGATTAAAAAAAAAAAAAAAATATTTAAATCGAAAACCGAGAACTAAAAAAAAAAACACACATACACCAACAACGATTACAAAAAAAAAAAGCGAACTAAGATCTGTTTCATATAAAAAAAAAAAAATTTGCTTTAAACGCCTTAGGTAAAAAAAAAAAAAATACTACACGCCGCGCCACGACATAAAAAAAAAAAGGGATGTAAATATGCAGACTTTAGAAAAAAAAAAACCAAGGTAACGAGCAATGTAAGCAAAAAAAAAAAAATAGTTCACATATCTCCTCATAGTAAAAAAAAAAAACTATAGTCATAGTGCAAAGATTTAAAAAAAAAAAGATGGAAAATAAAAAATAAATTCAAAAAAAAAAAACATAAACTAAAAATAATTTTGACAATCACCCCGTTCAATAACTACAAAATTGTATTTCGAAAAAAAAAAACACTTAGTAATCGAACAAAAATACTAAATTTTATTTGTTTTCATTACAAAAATTTATACAAAAAAAAAAAGTAAATTTAAAATCATAAAAATAAAAAAAAAAAAAGCAATTATGTTCCGAAGCTAGATCAAAAAAAAAAATTACCCGCCACGTAAACTATTAATAAAAAAAAAAAGAATCAATTATATTACTACAAACCAAAAAAAAAAAAGAGCAATCAAATCTTTCACTTAATTCACGCATTCCCTCTCTTTAGACAAACAGTTCTTAAAAAAAAAAACGAGCTTAGTTCTGGTGCTTATCAAAAAAAAAAAAATGTAATAAATAATACATAAAATTAAAAAAAAAAAGCTGTTCTGCCTCCGCTCGGAATTAAAAAAAAAAATATTTGGATTTCCGGTTTCGGAATAAAAAAAAAAATTGCAATCTTAATAGAAGCCAGAAAAAAAAAAAAAAAATCCGATTCGAAGTGCTCAATTAAAAAAAAAAATATTATGCGGCGAGCTCCTGGCCATTACAAATTCTTCTTACGGCTTATGTTGAGCTAATAAAAAAAAAAAAAAAGAGCATAATTTTGACGGCAGAAAAAAAAAAAGCGAATTTGTACTAGAGAATTTTAAAAAAAAAAAATGATTTAAAACATACACACTTGAAAAAAAAAAAAAACAAATTCAACAATGAGGATTGCGAAAAAAAAAAAAACAAATGTAATTTTTCATTTATTAAAAAAAAAAAGTGATTAAAAGCACTCACTTACTTAAAAAAAAAAAACACCGCATACGCGATTACAGCCGAAAAAAAAAAATTACACCACAGGCGGGTACTACGTAAAAAAAAAAAAAAACTGGAGTATTCGCATGTTCCAAAAAAAAAAAGATTCGCCGTTGCCAATGCGCAAAAAAAAAAAAAACTTTCTCTCAAAAACTCCTAACGCAAAAAAAAAAATTTTCGCCTCGCTTCTTTATCAAGAAAAAAAAAAACAGAACTAACGGCGCGGTTATTGAAAAAAAAAAAACTGCGATGGACAGGCCTCTCAGCTAAAAAAAAAAAGATTACCCAACATTTGTCAACGATAAAAAAGCTAACTCGTCAGTCCTCACGGAATTCACAAAAAAAAAAATTAGTGCTCTCCCCACTCCATCAGAAAAAAAAAAAGGTGAACGTTTATTCCGCAAGATGGTCGTGTCCGCTGCCGCGCGCTTCATCCCCGCATAAAAAAAAAAAAGTCCCAAGGTCCTCAACTTGCCTTAAAAAAAAAAAATGATACCTGACGTGTTGAAAACAAAAAAAAAAAACCCACTACTCAAACCGTGGAAACCAAAAAAAAAAATCGAGTCTTATCGGCCGATAACTCAAAAAAAAAAAGTATCGAAGACACTTGAGGCCTTAAAAAAAAAAAACTTTACTCACCATCTGCGACCAGCACATCAGCACGGTTTCCGAAATGTGCATAGCACAAAAAAAAAAAAAAATGCCTAGCACTGAATTTGTCAAAAAAAAAAAAAACCGTCAATCATTCAGTGCTACTAACGGACATTGAGGAATCCTCAATACCGCCGGGGTTAAAAAAAAAAATCATGGGCTACCTGAGTGGACCATAAAAAAAAAAACGAATTGAAACAACGAAAATTAGGAAAAAAAAAAAGGGGGTTCAGCGGGATGGTGTCCTAAAAAAAAAAATGTTTAATTTTTACATATCGAAACAAAAAAAAAAACCAGAAGAAGTTTAATTAACCTCGAAAAAAAAAAATTGCACCATAACGATGTCTGGCCATCCAGCAACATGTACAACAAGTGCTGGAACGGCATAAAAAAAAAAACTGAACCCCATTCACCAGGAGTCAAAAAAAAAAAACAAAGACTCCCTTCCCGTGAATGGAAAAAAAAAAATACAACCATCACCCGTTACAGACAACGAGCTCGAGCTGCCTCATACTTATCCAGACCCGAAAAAAAAAAATTCAACGTATGCCATGCATGTGGAAAAAAAAAAAACGACACTAACCACCTCTTCTTATGAAAAAAAAAAACGACTCATCTAATCTCCTTCTCCCAAAAAAAAAAACCCATCGAAGCAGTTCGTTTCCTTAAAAAAAAAAAAGATGACCTCGGCGACTTAGATTAAAAAAAAAAAAACCTAAGCGAGGTACAACAACAACAAAAAAAAAAAGAACAACAATCCAGGCTAATTAAAAAAAAAAAAAAATCTCTTCGTTTAGTGCGTCGTTGAAAAAAAAAAAAATGCGATTTGTGGCGAGCTACTTAAAAAAAAAAAGATGCGCCTTCTTCGGCACAATTGTCTGAAAACTCCGCCCCCATGACGGAACATTCTCAAAAAAAAAAAAGCTGATCATCTTCGCCTGGACCCAAAAAAAAAAAACCTGTAGTACTAAATTCCAGCATAAAAAAAAAAAACAAACTATCGAAAAACACAAAACCAAAAAAAAAAAGTTGCGATAGGCTTAAGTTCCGACAAAAAAAAAAATTTCTACTCGGCTGGCGCACCTGAAAAAAAAAAAAAGCCAACAGCAACTTGCTATAAGGGAACCATGGAACGACATCTCAAAGTCCATTCATACAAAAAAAAAAAAAACACTTGTTTTTCGGCAGTGCGAAAAAAAAAAATGGTACGATAAAGAATGTCAAGCTAAAAAAAAAAAAAAACAGACTGTACGATGTGGGATAAAAAAAAAAAGCTGAAGAGGAAAGCAAGAAGTAAAAAAAAAAAAACTGAATTGTCAAATCGAAAACGATAAAAAAAAAAAAACACCATCAGGTTGTTTCAAGGTAAAAAAAAAAATTGTCCACTTAGAGAACAACAAAGAAAAAAAAAAACGGTAAAATGCTGACCAGTGCATGAAAAAAAAAAATTGCAAAATTTGAAAGCATGTCTGAAAAAAAAAAATGTGTCTAATCCACATGAAGGGCGATCCCGCCAATTACCGTTGAATAAGCCTCCTCAATAAAAAAAAAAAGGTCTTATCGAGCGTATTGTACGGAAAAAAAAAAAGGAAAACGACCCGGTTTCTCTTGGTATTTTCTACTGGCTCTAAACGGCACCGCGTAAGCAAAAAAAAAAACTATAAAGGAAAAGATGGAGAAAAAAAAAAAAAAAGGCGAGCTACGGCAATTCCACACAAAAAAAAAAAAAGCGCATTGTTTTTTTTCAAAGTAAAAAAAAAAAAGTACAACTTTGCTTCCGCCGTTTTAAAAAAAAAAACTGTACCGGCTGAGGCTGATTGAAAAAAAAAAAAAATAATGCCTTTAAAGTGTGGACAGAAAAAAAAAAACTGTCATCGCCGTTTCAGTGACAGAAAAAAAAAAATTAGTATTATTCACGCTCGAAAATGTCCGTTTATGTGCCTAATTCTCGCCATTTGCGGGAAAAAAAAAAATTCTGTTACAATTCGAAAAAAAAAAAAAAAAAAAAAAGCGCATCGAATGCTCTCAGAAAAAAAAAAAAAAGCTGCTTTGAGTGAAAGAACGTGTAAAAAAAAAAATCAACGTTTTGAAAATGGTGATTTAAAAAAAAAAAACAAACATGGTGGTGGAAGAGAAAAAAAAAAAAAAGATTTACCACGACCCCTTAAAACCAAAAAAAAAAATCACAGGAGATCTCTACCGAACGCAAAAAAAAAAACATAGTCGCGCGCTAAAAGAAAAGAAAAAAAAAAATCAAGAGCGACAAGACAAATTCATAAAAAAAAAAAACAATGCTCGGCCTCACGTCACAAAAAAAAAAAAAAAGTACCTGGAAAAGCTGTAATGGGAAGTCTTGACCCACCCGCCGTATTCCCCAGATGTAAAAAAAAAAAACTTCCACCAATTCCATTCGATGGAAAAAAAAAAAGCAGATCAACATTTTCAATCCTCGAAAAAAAAAAAAAATGAATGAAAGAATGCGGGATCAAAAAAAAAAAGGAACGATGGGAGAAAGTTGTCGCAAAAAAAAAAAAATAATGTCAATAATATATCTGTAAGCACTTTTTCGCAATAAAGCTTTTAATTTTGGAAAAAAAAAAAAATGCAAAGTTGTAGACCTGATATTTAAAAAAAAAAATATTTCAGAAAGTAACAAGAATTTAAAAAAAAAAAGAAATTAACCATTGTCACTGAACGAAAAAAAAAAAGAAGCAAAATATCATAAATTATAAAAAAAAAAAAAAATAAAACATTGTGGAGAAAATCAAAAAAAAAAAAATTTTGCAACCTCTGATAATGAACAAAAAAAAAAATATGTCTTTCATGATTGTTGTATTAAAAAAAAAAAAAATTGTATGGAAGTA